ACCAAGTGTTAAATAATACAATTATTTGTTTCACGGCTGTCGGCGCCACCAAAGTTTCCCGGTGATTTTATATAATAAACAAATGCATACGGGGTGACTTACGCAACACACGTGTGAGGAAGCATTTATCTCAATGAATTACTCATTCTGAATCATTCGGTTACGTATTTTTGTTCTACTTTTCTCTCGTAAATGTAAACATTGGTTACATCGCTGGTGTCTAATTTTTCCCCATTAGTCACCAAGATTTGAAGAAGGCCATAACCGTTCATCGCCGGATCAATCAATAGCCATTCGTTCCAAGTAGAGTTCAGTCGGAGTCCTATCGTCGAGCAGTAACCGAAAAGATGACACACTGTTAATGCGAAATTGTAAAGAGGTCAACAGAGGTTCGTAACCGCGAATGGGGTCAAAACTCGCTCCGTACTTTATAGTGTGACTAACCTCGAGAGCGCGCCGCAAATATCGCAACGACCGTACGAAGATACCAAGACGTTTATGTACTACGTGTAGTAAATAGTACATCTTGGTGGCTACAATAACAACAACAACAACAACAATAATAATAAACAAAGGCCGGTTGATAGACCGCTCGAAAAAGTAATTAGCAAAAGTAAGGAGAATCATAATAAAATCGTCAACTTAAACAGGCAGTGGGTTAGTGACCCGCTAGGAGGGCACTGGCTCTGCTCAATTGCCACGCGCACCATTACGCAACTCGTTCTCTTTGCTATTTGCATCGGCTTTGGTGCACACGGAGAGATGGATGGTCGTTGCACCATCACCTTTTTATTTGTTCGATGTCCTGAGGAGCGTCGCGATGCCTCCGCTCCACGAAAGTAAAAAAAAATAAGAGTTGCAGTCTCGCGGGTTCATCGTTCGCGAGGTCGTTGCATCCATGACATAGACACACACAACACACACACATACATACACACAATGGCGGAGCAAGATCGCGCCAGATTGCCACTGGAGGTAAACCTAACGGTGCAAGAGTTCGATGGACGCACCGCTCGCAAATGGCAAGTGCATTTACCCTTTGCCTGCAGATGGCGAGGCGAAACCGCGCCGATGGGTTAAGCGGTCACAGCCAAGACGGCGGTCCGCGGAAAAGCGCTTTCCGCGCGATTTGTTTCGGTTTCGCCCGAAGGGTTGCTGAACCTGAGTGCAACGAACGGTTGCGTGTGGTGGAAATGCAGCGATGATTCAACGCATTCTCGGCACCTTCGTGAATGGAATTAATGGCGGGGGTGCGAAGAGCCGCTTGATTTCGGTTCCGGAATGGCCCTTCGGTGGTGGTGTCAATAACCCCGCTAATTGCCGCCTCCTACATGTCCCGCGATATGGAAATTCACGTTTCTCAAGGCGGTTCGGTGTCGATTGCTCTTCTTTGTGCTCGGTGGGCGCACAAAGAAGCCGTCGTCCAGTTCAATGTCAGTCGGTGGCGCTTTTTTTCCTGGGTCGCCGACTGACCGTGGCCCAAGATGGTATGGACGATGACGAAAGAGAGGCTTTGTGGGCCAGTCGATTTTGTTTCTTTCTTTCTCGTGCGAAATTTTCCCGACCATGACGATGGCCGCTAAGCAGAACAACTCACTTTTCTGATTGCCATGTTTCTGTACCACTGGGGTAAGTGACTCTGGATGACCTCGGAAAGACGCGAATATTCTCGAACAAAGTCGCGAACGTGTTTCGCTATAGGTCACTGGCCCGAAGCAACCTCTCCGAGAAGAAGAAAAAGAATTCGGATCTACCAGTATTGTTTTTCTTCGATTTCAGTTGCCCAACTTTCGGTATTCCTCTCGTACGCTCCGAATTTACACGCCTATACGAAACGCAAGAGGTTGTTAGCATCCATGGGGACCTTGAACGCCCGATTAAATACATTTTGGTCATTTTCAACTCTGCCAAGGTTAGGCACACAGGAAAGACCATCGCGGCAAGATCACTGTTCGATGCACCCTGAAGTAGTTTAGTGACCTTCCCCACTCGACCGCCACATTCTTCATGTTGATGGCCATCGCAATAATCAGCGACACGTAGCAATAAACCCATTTTAACCCTTCCCGAAACCTTACCCCGCCAATCTTTAAATAATTTATTACCGGACCCGAACTGAGAAAAACTTACTTTCACGTCGATTGACGAATTAGGGGACCATAAAATCATAAAATCCGCAAAGGTCGGGCAATTATGGACCATCATGGGCAGTGCGGCTCTTTGACGCCTTCCCCGAAACGCCCGGAATTGGTATTTTCAGGCAGTTGTCATAAACACATTAATCATCGATTAGCACCAGCGTCATGAATGCCAAGATGTTTATTTGCAAGTTAAATAAACTACTTCCATGGTGAGGCGGCGGTTGCTGACGATTTTTCGGAATTGTATTCTGGGGCGATTTCGACGGCCGAAATTTGCATAATTTTTTCCTAGAAAAACCACCACGACCAAACCGCATGATCCCAGTAAGACAAAAGATTAACTAAAAAATATATTTTGGGACGTGAGCACTTGTAATATGCATGCGTTTATTGTCTTTTTTGTTTATTAAATTATTCTTGGATGGTGTAATCAGGTTAGCAAGCCTAGAAACTGATAAGATTATCGTCGACACTTTTATGATACATAATTTTAAAGTAAATTCATATTTTTGTTTATTTTGGAATTTATTACATAGATTATAAAAATAGTTCAATCACCGGTCATTGTAACGTGTTCTCGTTTTGGAAATTTTTGTACTAAATTTTTGAAAGAAAACTGTCACAGTTTTATTGAAAAACATGTTTATAAAATTCAAATTGTCCAAATTCCATACAAGTGTCAAGTGTTTCCAAAATATTTACCAGCCATTCTATGATATCCACAGCTTTTTTTTATTTCAAGCATTTCACATTGTGCAAATGTAAAGGGTGATTAACTGATTATTACTAAATTGTCGCCAAATATTATGATTAAAAATACACACAAAATGATTATAGTATAGTACATACGTCGACTACAATCTATGATCTTTGGTTTCACATACAAAATGTATCTAGTATTTTTCGATTGGGCAAAGTTTTGAATAGTGTGATAAGTTATAATCATTTGACACAATTTCTATTAAATTTTAGTGATGTGTCTCTATTTGTCAAGTTATTTTGTTGAGAATCCGGAATTTTCTGTCTTTTTTGGAAAATTTGAGACCGAATTACTGGTCTGTGCGTGACATTTTAAAAACTATCTGTTAAAATGCAACAATTGAATGCTGTGGATAGTCAAAAGACCAAAAAATATTATTGTAATGATGCACATTCGACATTTTATGTTAGCGATAATAACGCTTATTGCTTATTCCACAATTTTTTCAACGCATCGAACGTATTCTTCTTGTAGTGACACACTTCTCGTTGCAAAAATTAATCAAAACGTGTTGTTGAAGAGATAAAAGCAAATCATAGGAGTAAGACATCGATATGTCACACATCTCTAAGTGTTACAATAATTCACTGGGTTGTATTATAAGTTACGCACGCTCACATGATATGTAACACAGAATCCACTACTGTAAATCACTATGATTTGTGCAACGTAAAAAATCGTTTGTTCTGTACCAACACAACGTACGCAGTTATAGTTATTACAAGTGATAACAAAAGTATTTACTTTAAGACTATGTTTTATTTCTTTTATTAAGCAGTTAAGTAATAATGGTTCGATCAAGAGCATGATAAAAATAACCCGTCACGTTTACGTCACGGCCAACTCTAAATCAAAATATTTTCTATTGCGCGGTATTATTTAATACATTGAATGGTTTGTCCGTGACACAGTGAAAAAGATTGAGCTTTTATTTTTCGCAAGAGCAATTGAAATAAAATCAAAAGCATGTAATAAATTCGCTCCTCATATTTTATTTTGCGTTAAAAAGTGACTTTTATTGGTGGATCCTACGCTCCAGTTCCGGACTTCTGCGAATCGGTTTTTTGTGCTGATCGTGTTTTTGCACATCCTCTTGCCCACATTGCACAAACAGTGATCTATGCCAGTTCACTTTTATAAATAATTAATCAACATTCACTTTTAATTACCCTCGCGCTTTTTTCGCGTTCCGGTCCTGCGGCGCATCAAAAAAGCGCCTCGGCGCCGCCTCTTCGTATTTTCGGTTTTTCTAAATCGCGCTCCAGTTTCAGTCGGCATTTTCCTTTTTTCCGCGGCGAGGAATTCGGCGCTCGGCCGAAGTGAAAGGAATCTTCCATCTGTCGTTTTCGATGCGAAGAGAGTGAGTGTTGCTTGCGATCAACGTAGGCTACGATGGTTGTTCTGGTGCGGCCTTGGCCGGAGAGCTGCACGCTTGTCTGGGTAATTCAGTCAAGGTTCAGGCCGTTGAACTTCCTTCCTCGACCGTGGTGGCCCCCACCACATGGGGAAGGTGGTCCTTTCGCGGCGCGTCGACCAATCGCGACTCGCTAGGTGCGCGCTGATTGGTCGGCGTCGGCATTGTTGTCAGTGACCTCCAACTTCAAAATGCGATGAACCCGCAAGTTCGCGGCTACGCTGCTAAAACCGAGTCCGTTCCCCCGTTCTTGGTACATGGTCGAGAATCGCCCGTCGCCCTTCAGGTAGTACGGACAATATTTACTATACGCCCGAGCCGCGGAGCACAGTCGGTACCGGGACTTTCACTCTCACCAGTTCTTCAGCAGCGCTCGGCGCCGATGCACGGAGTACTAGTGTTGTGCGGGTACCACTATTTCGGATTGATGTTGAAGTGATTGTGCGAGCGTCGTGATGATCCTCCAGGCGGATAGCAGCAACCAGCTGCCCGAGTCCACCACGGATACGTGCCCCCGCGAGCCCGCCCTGAACCTAGGTACTTTCGGTACTTTCTTCGCGCTTGTTCGGTTGCATAACCGATGCGCCTACTTTCACCTTTCTCTCGCCCGTTTTTACGTAACGAGGCGCGTCGAGAGAGAAAGTCCTGCTTTCTTCGCTTTTTACATCTTTTTTTTCTCTTGCAGAATTCGACGGCACGACGGTGCTGTGCCGCGTGTGCGGCGACAAGGCCTCCGGCTTCCACTACGGAGTCCACTCCTGCGAAGGATGCAAGGTAGGAAGTAAATCTAGCAAGGACCCGCTTCCGGGCCCCCTTGACGTCGCGAAACCTCCGCCCGAGTCGCGTCGTTTCAATGCGTCGCGCTCCTACCTGGCTTTTTGTGGCGCAAAAAGAAGGTTGAAGGTCGGTTGTTGTAATGTCAATGTCCGGTGCACGCGCATTCTTGGATCGTTATAAGCGCGAAGGAGCGGGGCCGAGGGGGCGCAAACGTCTCCGACCGCTGAAATAAGTGGGCGAGATCGGCCTTCACCACCGCCACCGAAAAAAATCAAGGTCCTAATTATCGGGTACATTTCCATACAATTCGCGAGAAGCGCTTCTTCCGCCGACAAGGTTTGATGAACCCGCTTGACAGTTCAAGGTTAGAGGTGCTCAACCCGCCCGGTCAACACCTGCGCTTTTACTTTCTTCTCGATTGGCGAAAAAACGCGCTTCCGCGGCAGATGGTCGACCCTTTTTTACCTGCCCAGGCAAGATTTGCGCGTTTTTCTATATGTAAGAACCCTTTTTTTCGAGCTGCGGAAGATTCTTGTTCTCGGCCCCCGGCTCGGAGGGCGCCATGTGGCCGACGCCTTTTCGCCGCTAACGTCGTGAATAGGCCGATCAAATTTTCCATTATCGCTGTTTGATCTTGCGTACAAGTGGTAAATACTCGGGTCGTGCCGGTGAATGACCGGTGTATTTGCAAAGAACGCGACGTGGCGCACTCTCGCGGAATTAGAGTTCGATAACGGTACAAGGTGATTTCGCACAAGTCAAAGAAGGTGCTTGCCCGCCCGTTCTTACGTTCGACGCGATCGTATCATTGTCTTCCGAGAACGCTAATAATAGCTCGAGGGGGTTATTACTTTACCCTTTTTCAGAAATAGACACAATTCTGGGGTTTTATTTATTCATCGGGACGTTGTAACGCTTTAATGATTCACCGCCGATCAATAGGGGACGCTTCGTTTAGGACGATGAATATTTGATTCGAATTTCGCGCCCTTTCCTAATTGAAGTCGTCATGGTGACCGAACAACACTCAGAGAAACCTGCAAACACAAGTTTTTCATTTGAAAAATGTATTCCCTTATATCATCTCATCCTCAGATTCAAATATATGTGGAGGTGTTTAGAAATGATTCTACATCCAAGTAGGCATTGGGTTTTGCCGCCTCCACAAAATCAGGGAGCATAATAAATCTGCCAAATCGATCTTCCCCCATTTATGAAATTAATAATTTTCATGACAACCAGGAGTCGCATTTTTACTGAATGCACGAGATATGAAAGTAATTTTATTATTTTTTCCTGTAATGTAAGGAAACAAAAATTGTTGTTTGTGCGAAGATCTTTTAACCAATTCCTTTTTACACATACATAACATTGGTTTATAAATTTTTGACAAAATTCATCCTGACTGGCCGCCCCTGTACCTTCAAAACTTGATAAATTTTTAATGGTATTTTGATGGGCAATCGCTCACTTCGCATAATCAGGTCATGAAAACGCCTGTGTAATACGTGTTGCATAAATTACAGGGATAATTTATCGATTCTGTTGTATACTGGAATATACGATGTTTGTCTATTTTACGTGGTTCATGGTCTTTCTGATTTAATTGATCGTTATAACCACTTCTGCTGCAGTGTTTGTTATTCTTCTTTGTAACCCACGTGCGCTCAGTGCATTAGGTTTTTCTCGCTGACTCATACCTCCTAGTTTTTGGTTTTCTCAGTAGTGTTTTATACTAAAACTGGATGATTCAGATGCTAATTTTGGTTTCCGCGCAAAATGAAATGCGTCAACATTTTTTTTTCTTTCTGATGATCCGTCATATGTAAATTGTTAAAATAGCGACTCAAACGTAAACCCTGTTCCTATTGTCATTGTTATGGTGCCAATTAACCGATAACAAAAATCCCGGATCGTCGTAGACTTGGAAGCGCCGCTTTATCTCCCCCGTCACGGCCGCACTTTTTCCTCTATTATCGAACCAAACACAATTAAAACAATAATAAACTTTCATGACCGAACAATAAACAACAACAGAACGCATCGCGCTTCTCTTTTTCCGTCCGAGTTCGTTCCTTGTTTGCTTCTAAAAGTGTTCCAACAAAACAGAAATGGGGTCGCGGGTTCAGAAAAACGCCAACACAACACCGAGATGCCGCTGTTCTTTCTCTCTCGCTCATTCTTCTCTAGATAGGTATTTGGCAAAAAATCGGGGTTATGTTGGTCGTTCGGCCTAAATAGTGAACTCTCTTGCATCCATAATGTCATACGTAACAACTTTTGGGGCCGTTGAACTCCGCAGAGCCGCGCATGCGCCAAAACGTCACCGTTATCGCGCTCTCTGATGCAACTTCCCTCTTCTGCTGCCCCGCTAATTGTTGTAAAGTACGACAACCTAGATTCGCGAACGTTGACCTGTTAGTAGCAGATGCAGCGAGGGTGGGTGGGATTTTTCGGCGGCCGGTGCGGCAAGGGAATCCCAGAAATTCGCGGTGACGGAGAGGACCGCTAGGTGCGGGGTGGAGACGGTGACATGGGTGGGTGATAGGACGACGGGGATTTTTCAACCGAGTTTCGAGTTCAACGCACTCGACTGACCTTATATCGTGGGTGATGCCTGATTTTTAATGTCGGTTGGTTGGAGTCACTGACCACTACAATATTTTTCGACCTGAGCTTTGTCGACATGGCGCGGAATAAGGTTATCGTACGATGATAATGGAGCTGGGCGGAAATGGCCACGTTCTTGCGGTCACCGATGGAGAGATAGGGTTAAGACGGCACAAAGGGGCGCAATTCGATACACTTCCACATTTGCAGAATCGAGGTTGATTGATAGATGCATGAGTGCAACCTGGTGCTAGAGGCTTTTGGAGCAATTTGCAATTTTGGCCACTGATACACGAGAAACGGAAAGTAGTGTAAGATTTTTGCAAAAAAATTAACGTTTGTGTGTTATGGGTGTTTTACATTTTTAGATTAAAAAAATATAGTGGAACATAACATAAAATGTAAATCTAATCTACTAGCGATAACTTTGTGGGCGGCATGACATGATTTTTTTGACATTCTGGAATAAATAAACTTCTAAATTAGCTAAGTTGCTTAGTCAGGTCTGATTAATGAAAATCTAGCTGGCCATTACTGAACTTGGAAGTTGCTCGATGTACAATTTTTCTTATCAGTTTAATAAGATTTTTTCTCTTTATGTTTCCATATCATCTTATTCTTTGGGCTTTTGTTTTTTTGCTTCTTGGTTTTCGTTATTCATTCACGATCGTATTTCTTTTTCTTTCATTTCAAATGTAAATTTCGCAATTTTTTGTCAAAAAAATATTTTCACCTGCTGTTAAAATTAAATAATTTTTTTTTTTTGTGAAACCAAAATCAAATGTTTATTTGTGGAATTTATTAATTCGATATAACATAAATCAATATTCAGAATGTCAGTGATTTATTTAGTGTTACATAGAGGTCCTGCTATCTTTCTATTATCTTCCTTTCAAAAATTCTCAATTGTACTTCCCCCTGTTCAGCTAAGTACTTGTCTCTGGGATCATTCATTATTGTTGGTCATATGTTTGTTTCGTTATTTTCATTTTTTCTGTTTAAATTCTTCTCTTTGAGAATTTCTTATTGCATTTTTTTTTTTGAAGTGAAGCTCTATTTGTGGAGTGATAGATTTGTGTGATTCGGAGGTGAGTCCGCTGTAGCGTGTCGAGTGTGGTTCTGGTGGCTGAACGCAACTCTCACCCCAGAATTCGTGTGTGGATGAGTAAAAGTTCCGGCGATAGAGAAACTAATTAAGATGGGTGTTTGTTTTAGTCGTCGCTCGGAATTTTTATGCATGGGGTGCATGACCGTGTCGCGAGGTGAGTGTCCTTTTGGGTCGATCGTACCATCGATGGATGATGGGTCTGTCGGCGTCGGCAGTTCGTTGACTTCGAACTGTAACGTTACACGTTGTTGTTGAGGTAGCGCATGAAGCGGGTCGCCCCGCAGTGACGTAACAGTGATAGTGTGTGACGTCAGCGAATATTCTCGAAACCCATATTTGGGCCATCGGCGTGTTGTCATCATCGGGAGGTAAAAAGTCTTTGACCGGGGTTCAACGAACCGTCTGAATCAGATGTGGTTTTGTAATGTTGCACGGCGTGCAGGGCCGGGGTGGCGGCCCTTGGGGCCGCGCAGGGCCGGGCTCGGTTTCGTGGAAGCCCGCGGAAAAAAGTCGGTTCGGCGGAGGGCAGCGACACCGAGTGACGAAAGAGTTCGGCGTCTTTGTCTTGCTTGCGGTTCTCCGGGATCTCCGAGAAGGAGAGGCGAACTCTCACTTTCACGCGTTGAACTGGCCTCGCGAGCACACTTCGGCGGGTTGAACGGCCGGCAACTGGGTCAGCTGGTTAAGTGTGGCGAAGTCGGGCTTCGGGCTCAGTGCTCTGTTGAATTTCGTGGTGCGTGGACGTCGTCACCCTCGCTGTAAACAAACATGTCTTTTGTGTGACGATGGCCGTGTCGAACCGCCCCGCCGAGTCTTTCGCCGCGAAAACCCCCCGCAGTCCGGACAAAGTCTCTAAAAAGAAAAAACTCCGTTCGCAGGGCTTCTTCAGGCGCAGCATCCAGCAGAAGATCCAGTACAGGCCCTGCACAAAGAACCAGCAGTGCTCCATCCTCCGCATCAACAGGAACCGCTGCCAGTATTGCAGGCTGAAAAAGTGCATCGCCGTCGGGATGAGCCGTGACGGTAAGTCTAATATGGGTCATCCAGGTCTCGGGGTGAACGACCTGCAGCGCGCACTTCGCGAATTTATAACAGCGGCGGCGCGAGAAAGTTCACAGCGGCCGCAGGAGGTGAACGACCTGGCCGCCTTCTTCGGGACACTATCGGCCTTCGCGCTCATTTCTCGAATTTTTTTCGAAAGTTATTAACGCGCCGTTACCGATATCGCAACGCTTACACAACTCCAGCATCCATGTTAAGGCTATCCACATCCAACTCTGCCACTTTTACTCCATTCAACCATCTCATTTTGCACAACGCGAAATCGGTTCGTTCGCGTTGCGAAATATTAATTAATCGTATGAGCGAAAGTTCCAAATTCGATCAAAAACAAGCTAATTCGTAAAGCGTGGATGTCGTCCGAGCCGCTGCGGTGTTGTTGTTTTGCTGCTGCGTTCTTCCTATGACGCTGCGATAGAAAGTTGCCATTTCGTAACGATTAATTGAAATTGCTAATGCTTTTTACTGGGAGAAATTTATTTGCGGAGAGCTCTCGCGATCACCCGAACGTTGACTCCGGCAAAAACACGACACTTTTTCACGCCGTAACGAAAGCTGAAAACGATCTACGGACAACAGCCAGGGGTAGCACCACTCTATCGTTCTCATAAATATAAACAATAACTTTAATGAATCAAATTACATTGTCACTCATATTTAGTAGTAAATAAAAATATTTACAAACCATCGTACATAACCCAGTGGGTAATATTAAAAATATATTCTGCCAAAAAAATTGACATCAAGACGCACAGTTAAATGATATTTTACTTAACATTTGGGTTAAAGTCTTTTAATTTGGATTAACAACATTTTGAGATGACGTCATGATCTTTTTGGAGGGAACGAATTCATATGTTTTGGTTATCAGTATTTTTTAGCACATTTAAAAGTTCAAATTGCCAACATCTATTCATATTCATGCTGCAAAAATAACATAACGAAAAAGTAAATTGCAGCAATCGTGCTGTAACCCAATGTTTGTATGTGCAAAATCTATTAAACATATATTTTTCCAAAAAAAAAAAAAAACATGCAACAACATGCACAATTAATCTAATGATCTTTACTTAACAAAATTTTGAGTTGACGTCATCATCCTTTTGGAAGGAACCAATACACAGATTTTGTTGGTTATCATTATCTGTCTAATCAAATTGTCAACGAACGGAAACGGGAAACTTAGCTGCGAAATCTCGACGAAAATTGAAATTATACATTCATCATAATTACCCTGTTACAACAGTTCCATCAGCTACTCCTCCATAAGTATAAATATGTAATAAATATAGGTAGTTTTAGCTATGATTCAAAAGTGTTTTCCGAAAATAGCAAATGAGCTTCCTTGTAGTTTTGTATTATTTTTCATTCAAATGAAACAAAAAGTATCGAAGATGTTTACTGAAAATTTTATTTTTACAAAATTGATTGGTTTAAGAACCCAAAAGTGTTTGATGTTTTTAAGAAACGCTTAAAGATACATCAAATAACACTAATACAATTAGTAAATAAGAAACTGGTTAAAAATCATGAGAAACTGTATTAATCAGTTAAAAACTTTGATAAATCTGCCAGTACATACATATACCTCAAAATATAAAAACAAATTCATAATAAGGAAAAATAATCTCCTGTTGCTTAGAGTAGATCATTGAAATAAACAAAAAAGTTCACGTTTATAAATTAAATAAACAATAAATTACAATCAAAAAGTCATCTTAGATACAGGATGAGAAAAGTAACAACAGCTGTAAGATTTTGGCGAAGTTTTTATTTTACTCCAAGGTATTAAAATTTATACAAATTTTAGGCAAATAAGTTTGAGCAAAGAGTGGTTTGCATGCGGATTAGCAATTTTTCAAACATGCATTTATTTGGCCACTATGGTAAAACAAACTTACTATGGTCGGCAAGACTAGACAAAAGTGGAGAAGGCAGTACGCATCCAGTTAAAATACATTGTTACAACAGTACTTGTTTATGGCCACACGGCAAAATTCAGAGATTACACCGAACCAGAAATCATTTATTATAGACAGACGACCGCAAATTCATAACAGACATTAAAAACATGTATTTATAAATCGTCCGGGCAGAGATCGTCGCACTGGTAATCTCCGCTTTGATAAAGTGCTTGTGGCTGCTGCCCCCTGGCGTTGCCCTTCGCAAAGTTCGATCTAGCCCGTCGCAAATTCATATTTCCGTCTTTCTTTGTTTTTTTTTTCAAGAGCCCCCGAAAATGGCGGCGCCGGGAAACCCCCAAAGTTATGCAACCAGGCGTACTACCGTTCGCTTTTCCGCTGCTGTTGTTATCGGCCGTTTCGTTGTTTTTCCGTAAACGTTATCGGTCGGTGTCGCCCTCTGGAGGCGGCGGCGCCAAGCGTAGTTCGACGTCGGCGTCGACCTTGACTCGGCGACGCCCGCGCGCAACGCCACAGTTTCGCGACGCGCTCAAGTTCAAGGGTGATGGAGGGGAAGAGCCCGCGGTTGGTGGGGGGCCAACGTCGAGAGGGGAGTCGCAACCGTGGGTGCTCCACGCCTGGCATTTGTTCGCGCCACTATACCACAACGTAGTATCATACCAACGGTCCGAGAGACAAAGTGTGCGCAAAAATTTCAATCAGTTGGGAATGCCTGCACGAGCAAGTCGCAGCCCAACGACTACGTCGGCGGTTTATCAACGTGGCGGTGCACATGTGATGAGTGACGGTGTCAACGGCAGCCACCAAAGGGGCAAGATGGGGGAGGAGTTGCCCATACTCAAGGGTATCCTCAACGGGGTCGTGGACTACCACAATGCACGTATGTGTCGTTATTTTTTTTTTGCGTTGTTTTTTGGGGATTTTTCGGGTTCGGGCACTTTCTTTTCATCACGATTGACCTACAACACTTTCATCCTCGTGAAAGCAAATTTCTCTCGAGTTCGATTCGTAATAGAGCCGCGGCACTTTCTCCGGGGTAACGGCCGACAGATGTGGAGCAGATGGCACGTGCCGACACCTGGTGTATACGCACTTAGAGTTTCGTAAGGGCGCACGGACGACCACTCCTAACGGATTTTTTTTCTTTGCAGCTGTGAGATTCGGACGCGTTCCTAAACGAGAAAAGGCGCGCATTTTAGCGGCCATGCAACAGAGCTCCAACTCCAGGAGCCTGGAAAAGGCCGTCAGCGCGGAACTCGAAGATGATCAACGGATCCTGGCGACCGTCGTCAGAGCGCACATCGACACGTGCGACTTCACCAGGGACAAAGTCGAGCCCATGCTGGCCCGCGCCAGAGAGCAGCCCTCCTACACGGCGTGCCCGCCCACCTTGGTGAGTCCTTGCTACCTCCGGCCCGATCGTCCTTGGCTAACCCTGCGACTCTTTCAGGCGTGTCCGCTCAACCCGAACCCGCAGCCCTTGACCGGGCAGCAGGAGCTCCTCCAGGACTTCTCGAAGAGGTTCTCGCCGGCCATCCGCGGCGTCGTCGAATTCGCCAAGCGCATCCCGGGCTTCTCCCACCTGGCACAGGACGACCAAGTCACCCTGTTGAAGGCCGGAGTCTTCGAAGTGTTGCTGGTGCGGCTAGCGTGCATGTTCGACACACAAACTTCCAGTATGATTTGTTTGAACGGACAAGTGTTAAAACGTGACTCTATACATAATAGTTCGAATGCACGGTTTCTGATGGACTCGATGTTCGATTTCGCCGAGAGAATGAACGCGTTGCGTCTGTCAGACGCGGAAATAGGACTTTTCTGTTCGGTCGTGGTGATCGCTCCCGACAGGCCGGGTTTAAGGAACACTGAACTTATTGAAAAAATGCAAAACAAATTGAAGGGCGCGCTACACAAGATGGTGAGTCAGAACCATCACGGGCAGACGCACATTTTAGATGAACTGATGAAAAAAGTGCCAGATCTCCGTACGCTGAACACGCTACATTCTGAGAAGCTTTTGGCGTTCAAAATGACGGAGCAGCAGCAGATGATGCAGCAACAACAGCAATGGAGCGCACCGACAGAAGACGAAGGCAACAGCAAGAGCCCGCCGGGCTCGTCGTGGTCGTCATCGTCGGACGTCACAATGGACGAGGCAAAAAGTCCGCTGGGTTCGGTCTCTAGCACAGAGTCCATGTGCTCGTCTGAGATCACGTCGCTGAACGACTACCACCAGATGGGAGGCCACCACGTCAGCTCCAACGTCACCAACGCGCCGCTCCTCGCGGCAACTTTGGCCGGGGGCGTCTGCCCCCACAGGCACCGAGCCAACTCCGGCTCAACGTCATCCGGCGACGACGAGCTCCCGGCGACGTCCCACCTCATCCACAACGGTCTCACGATAACGCCTGTGTCGCGGCCTCCCAGGTTCCGCAAGCTCGACTCCCCCAGCGACTCGGGGATCGAGTCCGGAACCGAAAAGGTCGACAAACACAGCGCCCCCACGTCGCTGTGCTCCAGCCCGCGCTCCTCCATGGAGGACCACCACATCGTCGAAGAGATGCCGGTGCTCAAGCGCGTCCTGCAGGCGCCGCCGCTCTACGACACCAACCTCCTCATGGACGAGGCCTACAAGCCGCACAAGAAGTTCCGCGCGCTGCGCAACAAGGACTCCGCCGAGGCCGAACCCGTGGTGGTGATGTCGCCGCAGCCGCCGCCGCCGCCGTCGTCGCTGTCCAGCACGCACTCGACGTTGGCCAAGTCGCTGATGGAAGGCCCGCGCATGACTGCCGAGCAGATGAAGCGGACCGACATCATCCACAATTACATAATGCGGGACGAGCACCCGGTGGCGGCGGCGTCGCCAATGGTGACGGCGCCGACGTCGTGTCCGTACAAGGCGAACAACGGGTCGTTGCTGCAGCCGGCCTGGGCGACGAGCGTTATCACCACGACGGTGCGCCACCAGCAGCAGAACAGCGAGTACAACAGGATGTACCTGCAGTCGCCGCACTCGACGTCACCGGCGCCGCGGACCTGCTCGCCGCTCAAGATCGTGGAGCTGCAGGTGGACATCGCGGATTCGCAGCAGCCCCTCAACCTGTCCAAGAAGTCGCCGTCCCCGTCGCCGAGGCCGATGAAGGTCGTCACGCTGGAGGTCTAAGGACCGCCGGCGGCGGCCAACGAGTTTAGTACAAAGTGGAGTGCGTGCCGGCCCGGGCGAGGACTGTAAGCCGCCCGGTGGACTGTTGGAGGTGCCACTTGATCGATGTATTACAAACCAAATAATTTATAATCGCTGCACTAAGCTATACTATCTATATCTCTGTCTCTGTATAACCGATGTGTTGATGTGTGAACAGTTTTATGTTGTAGTAGTTTAGGACGGAGCCCTTAGGCCGACGATTCTCATGTATAAAGTACTACTTCCTGCGCCATTGCCGAAGCGGCGGGCATTTTGTACATAGTGGACCAACTCGGGCGCGCCGTTTCGGCACCCTTCTATCATAAGTAGATAAGGTTTCAGATTTAAACAATCACTAATTTAATGGCTACATTGTAAATGAATATTTATGATTACGAGATAGTTGAAAACTGGCATCAGCACCAATCCTACGATAGATTTATAAAATAGTTAACGATATCATAAAATGAACCCTAGTAATATCTATTATATGTATATGTGATAATTTTCTTGGTAGAATAACTGTGCATAAGTTTCGTGTTATGTATCTCAATTTGTAAAGAGACTCGTTATTTTGTAATCGTTTCACGATCATCATCTTCACCACCATCATGCGTGTTGTAGTATCACCGCCATTCGCATCATAGTCGACGGAGTCGAGGAGGTCGAGACTGAAGAAGGTGACGACGTGTCCTTTCGTACTAATCACACACAAAACTATTCACAAAAAAACGTCGTACCTTTTGCGCAAAGTCTCCAAAGGCTCGTTCGCTCTCATTTTGGACAAGTTAGTTCTGCCCTCAACCGCGACCTCTCAATGTACGTTCATCAAATGATTGTCTGTAATTTTGTAAAATGGTAGCTTGTTGAGGACGTCAGAATAAACCACGTCTTGGTGATATTATCTGCTCGTTTCTATTTCACGAAAACCTTCCTTCCCTATAATGACGTTGTTTTTCAATTTGTCATTGTCTAATAAAAGCTAAATATGACGATAATGTGTTTAAACAATTCGACAGCCTTGGCCTTGGTTTCATGTACTTGACGCGTGTGTTCGCCGTCTATGGACGAGTACACAGTGGAAACGGCTAAAAAACATGCGAGGATACTCCACGAAGTAAACATTGATGTTTTCGATCGACGGAGAGACGCAAAACTGACAACTGTGAAGGTTACGGAAATAATGAAGGAACATCCAAGAATCAATCACCACATTTACATCTTTATTTATCAAGGTCTAACGGTGAACATTTAATGTCAACGAACAAGGTTATCTGCGACACACTGAGCGGCGCAAATCGCTGCAAACGACGAACCGATAAACCCATTCAATAAAAAAACACACATTTCGCAAAAGACGAGCACAAACAACTTCGGAAAGTTGTTAAATCCGCTCGGACGCTACAATAATTCCGATTGCGTAATTCCGCGTCCGTCATGCAAATAGTGAATATACTGTTTCAGTAATAATTTCAACGTAGTTCGCCTTTTCCGAGGATCGAACCGAAAAGTCGCCCAATAAAGCCGGCTCCATATGGATTCGTTACTCAGGAAGCGAATAAACGAATGAATCACACGAGTCGTGACGCAAGGACTAACTAATACAATTACGAGCTAATCTTCCGTTAGACCTGCTACGACAAGAAGTCCGAGAGAATTGCTTTCGAAAGTCAAAAGCGACTCATAATTTCGTGTATTGATAAAGAGATAAAATCTTGACCTCATTCTTCCCGATCGTGTCACGATAACGCCGGCTGGTATCTGAACGATAACGAATCGTGAATGCAATAATGTGTATAATTTTCTGGAAAACAAGATAGGCTTCTTTGTTTCTTCTGGGACGTTTAATTTCGTAATTTAGTTTTAGGTGTTTGGCGTGAACCCGACCTTTGGCCGCAAAGTGCAGGAATTTATCGTTGAAAAAATTTTGGGCTTCTATTCAAGATCAAGTTCATTTGGCACGCCATGTAGACAGTAAAAACCTCCGCCTATAAAATTCAATTAAACATCCGTGGAGGTTCTTTTTTGCAGTTTGTTTATTACGCGCTAGGAAAGTCCTCTTTGTAATAAACAGAGTATTTTTAAATATTTACACAGATCGTCCCCGGACCTTGAATAAGCAATGCAAAACTCTATTTTTCCCGAAACCGAAAACCGAGAAAATTCGCCGTAGGAGTGGTCCGGACGTCACATCCATCACCGCAAGGTCGACCGATTGTCCTAACAGAATTGATTCATCTTCATTTCAATTTCGACCGATGCAACCTTGCCATTCGTCTCCAACAGTAATAAATTAGTGTAGTTCTCGATTATGATAATCGTATTTATAGCTCGTTTGAAGGTTAGCTAACAATTACTAAAGATAATAAATATTTGTTCGCCGCTGATATATCAGATACGTCATTTCTGTGGATGAAACACAATAAGGCAGGCGTCAAGGACAATCTATTTTTTTTCCTCTCTTCAATAAAGCTCCTGTAAAATTGGGAGCTGAGGTCGTTCACCGCCCCGCCGTAAAAAAGGAATTTATTCTGGGATTCGGTAAATAAAATTGTTCACCTACGCACGAAAAAGAGTGACAAACATCCAAAACACATCCAGAGACCATCGTTATGGTGCGATATATAGATTTAAAATAACCAATTTGCATGGGATCGGTCTAAATCCGACCGAAGACTCAATTAAAAACACCAAAATCGCGTCGCTGTTTTCTGCTTCTCGGCCAACATAAACACCAAGAAGTTACTCTTTTAAAAATATCGCCAAATTTCATTCTTTGTCGGTGGATGAGCACTGCTCTCAGCAGATGACTCACGACGGATAACGAGCAGCAATTCTAATAGAATTAAATTGGCCCCGACGTTAATAGTTCGCCCTATGTTGCGTATGCCTTTGTAGCATGGTTAATTGCGGACAAATTATCTGATAACCTCGCCTTTTATTAAGCCAAGGTTAGTTGCGGGCTTTTTTCACGGCCTGACCTATTTCAAAACGTGCACAAACGGGAGGTGGGCAAACATAGGGTATTTTCAAAGAGTATCGCTTTACGGGGTCAAAAACTTTATACGGATGCGATAAGATACGGGGTAAAATTCCAAACGATATAATGAAGTTTGTAAATATTATTCTTGTGAACGGAAAATTTTTCGTTTGCACCGCACCCTTTTGGCGGAAAGTGATCGAACCGAACTTCCGGTGGTTGGGTTGGTTAACCGTGTTTGACAGGTGGACAATGTTAACCGACAACTTCCAGAGCGAATAAAGCGTGCTCTTCGCACCGAAAAATTGAGAGGGAAAACAATTGTATCGTGCCTCATACGCCAACATACGGTATTTAGAGCACCTAAAGCACTTAAAATAACAGACAACAAATACTGTTCCTTCCTTCTAAAATCATTATTCGGCTCTTGCCCCCTTTGCTTCCTGAGTTCTAATCATAGCAAAGTGAGTACCAAATTCCTGTAATTTTTTCCTTGGTTTGTCCCAGTAAGAACTTTTACGTTTGTAGTTTTTCATTTTAGGCCCAATAAGAAACAAAAAGGTGCCCCAAAACGCATACATTGAATTTCTTAAGAGTAAACAGATCTCTCTAGTATGAAAAGAACGTGAGCACCTTTTGGTAATTTCATATTTTTGAAAGTGTTGCTGTCCAAGCTGAAAACACTTTCACTGAACGATATTTTATACATTAAAAAGGAAAATTTCTGAAACTATTAAATTTAATACGTTCTTGAAATTTAAATTAGTAAATTCAAATTTAGCGTTCACTAGCACATTAATTACTGCAATAAATAGGTAGGTACGTATTAGATAATTTAATCGTCTCTGTATCTAATTTGAATTAATTTAGCTTGTTCTTCTTAAGTGTGTTCAGACGAGTGCTAAAAAATCGCATATTCGCCGAACTTTCATTGTGACATAATTAAGTCGATAGTCTAATAACAATCTGGCTCTATTTAGTACATAGTTAAGACTAAGAACCAAAACAATAAAGTGTAAAGTGTTCTAAACCTACTAAGCGAGTTTAGTTCAATTAAGGAATGTTACATGATGAAAAGTAATCTTTAGTCGACCAAATTATAAAGTTCAGTTGTATTCGTTTTTATTTCTGAGCGATAATATCATGTTTTCTTGGCGTTTCACGGGTCATAGAAGTCGAAATGTATGTATACCGTTTCGATCTGTCCATGATTTGTTAGAAATGTGTTAGGTGTATAGTATTCGAAACTATTCAACCGATTTATCTATTTAACCATTGCACAAAATTGATGACGTCACATCAATAAATTCATTTGGAATGTTTCCCGTGTTTTTTGACTTATTGTAATTTATTTCGGAGATTTTGAGAACACTCTAGACCAGCAGATACCATAAGACATTTAGTGTAATGACGCAATCTGTTTGCATTATGTTCAGTATAGGTTTGCAGAGGACATCTTAAAAAAAGTGTAAGACCTTATTTATTCTGCGTATTGCGACTAGTTTTATTTTGTTCGTTTCGAAATACTTAATTATGTGTGTACACATGAAAGTCAAAGAATTATTTGTTTGTTTTAATTTACCTTAATTTTATTCCTCTTTATTCATTTTGATCCAATCTCTAAACTCATTACGAATTCTTAAACCGTCAGTTTTGCCTTTCACCTTCTTGTGCACTATTTTTTTCGAAGTGTAAATACGTTTTTTAAATTGTTTGTACCTACACCTTTTAAATCGTGTCTCTTTAAATTACAAGCCACTTTATACATTAGAATTAGATACAACTAAATTAGAAATAGAATTTTAAACTTCTTGACATACATTTTTCTAGAATTTAAAAAATTCAAATATTTCTTATTTAGTTATGTATATTTTCCTTTAACATCTGAATGGCATTTTTCTGTTAATATCTGTTGGAATGTAGCTTACTTCTTTTTTTATTGTTACTAATCAATCAGAAGAAAGAGACAATTTTTAGTGACGCTACATGTTAAAAGAATCTTTTTAACACTGTAATTATTTTCGGAATTATGTCTTTTACTAAATATATATCAAATAAATATCAAATGACAATTAATATCATAACTATGATATTAGCGATTGTGTGGCTTTATCGCAATTTTAACAAGAAGCGATGATACATATTTCATAATTTTTAGAAATACCTGCTGAAAGTATCAAGTGTATTTTTGTCATCGTGATAATTTTCCTTCCACTGTTTAAATTTTGTACAGATATTTTTCTTAAAAAAAAACAAATTTCGACTCGAGAGAGACAAATTTTTACTTTTTCAAACTCACGCTTCACCTTCTATCGTCATCGTCAGTGAAAATTTTAATAATTTCTAATTTACATAATTCTTCTTGCGTGTGTGTGCATCGTTTCTTTTGATTCACTTTTATTGTTAATTTCACGTCATATACGTTCACTAACTTTCTCCAGCTCTTTAATATTGCTACTTTTTCTAACGTTTCATTCATAACGAGGATCATTTTTACAAACGCGATTTATAAATAGTGTAGAATGTATCATTTTTTCTGAGGGTCTGTGTTTTCTTTTTTTCCGGTAATTCACTTACTATTTTTACATCAGCTATCTTCTCTCCAGTATTTACATTCATAATTTGCGTTTTTGAGAATGTAAAACAACACGAAAACAAGTTTTATATTTTTTTCAAATCTTGGATTCTATTAAATAAATATTTACTACTTAGCAATCCTATTTACAATACTTGTTTTAATTTTCGCTGGGGAAGTAAAAATTAATAACAAAAATAATTCCTTGAAGTTAGCTACATTTTTTCTTTAAATAAAAAACGAATGTACCTATATCAGCACATCGGTGTTCCACATCGCAGGAGCTCTTTTCCTATCGTATGGTATGTACGACGACTTATTCACTATAGCCTTAATGCAGAGATTTTTT